ATCTCATGGTCGACGGTGTCAAAGGCAGCACTCAGATCTAACAAGATTAAGATTGAGACTTTGCCTGCGTCAGTGTTCAGCCGGATATCGTTTGTAACCTTAACAAGAGCAGTCTCAGTGCCTTGGTGGGGTCTAAAGCCGGACTGAAACATATCAAATGAGTTGTTAATTATAAGAAATCTAGTAAGCTGTAGGTAGACAACTTTTTCAAGGACTTTCCCCATAAATGGCAGATTTGAGATGGGACGATAGTTGTTAAGTACCGTAGCATCCAGACTGCTCTTTTTTAGCAGGGGCCTGATGACTGCAGTTTTCAGGGCCTTTGGGAATATTCCAGAATGAAGGGACATGTTTACTATCTGTGTGAGTGAAGGTAACAGACTGCTCAGAACAGACTTCAGAAATCTAGTGGGTAGTACATCCAGGCTGCATGTGGAGGAGCTCAAACTGGAGATTATTTCTTGGACATTTTTATCATCTACAGGTGCAAAGTAAGTTAGCTCAGAGAGCCTTTCTGGCTGTTGGATGGTTATCTGTGGATTGGAGACAATGGCGTTTTTGATGCCTTGAACCTTGTCATTGAAAAAGTGTGCAAACTCATTGCATTTACGTTTGGAAGTTAGCTCTAATGGCATCTGAACAGGGGGGTTTGTTAATCTATTAACTGTTGAAAACAGAACACGCAGATTGTTGCTGCAGCCTTCAATCATTTCAGAAAAATACCTTTCTCTCGTACTACGTAGCACCCGGTTAAACTCGCACAACTTATCTTTGAAGATCTTGTAATCAACCTGGAGGTTGGACTTGCGCTACTTCCGCTCGGCCCTCCGGCACTTTCTCTTTTGTGCCCTGACCGAGTCTGCTTTAGCCCACGGCGCCTTCTGCTTATTTTTCACTATTTTAACCTTCACAGGGGCAACGGTATCCAGAACATTCAAAACACTAGAGGTGACAGAGTTAAACAGTTCATCTACAGTAGAATACGATGCATTTTCAAAGTTTATCATTCCCATAAATAGTTCACTCGTATTTTCATTTATGTGTCTTCTTCGAACAGTTGCAGAGTCCACTGGTGGTTTGTTAGTGAAACACATGTCAAAAAATACACAGAAATGATCCGAAAGAGCAACATCGACCACGCTTATATTTGAAATATTCACCCCCTTTGTAACTAACAGGTCTAGAGTGTGCCCTCTGCTGTGGGTGGGGCCACTCACATGCTGAGTGAGACCAAAGGTATCAAGTAAAGAACTCAGCTCTTTTGCATTTCTGTCATCAACATTATCCACATGAATATTAAAATCACCTGTAATAACTAAACTATCAAAATCTGTGCATACAACTGAAAGCAACTCGGTAAAATTATCAATAAAACTGTGACATGACTGCGGTGGCTTGTATAGGACAATGAAGAGTATTGGAGGAGATTGTTTTTGTTGTATTTTAAAAGACACATATTCAAAAGACGGAAACTTCCCAAGAGACATTCTATGGGAGACAAAGTGGTTCTCTGAAAGTGGCAGCTAAGCCTCCTCCTTTTTTTTTTACATTGTCCAAACAAAAGCTGTCACATGCCTTCGTAACTTAAAAAACACCTTGAATTAATGAGCCTCTGAATAGATGCTAGGCTGTGCAATTAAATACCTATGTGCTTTGTTGCCGACCCTTTAGTTGTATTCCCTTCTTTGAAATAGTTAATGATATGAATTAACCTATATGCTGCAATAAGATTACTTCATTTGAAAACACATTTGCTATGATTGTCCTTGTCCCAATGTGAGAGCTCGAGTGAAACAATGCAGATAAGCTCTGGAAAATTGTTCTTCAATGTTTATTCTCATCATTCTCTGGTATATCCATGAATCTACCCAATGTGTTTTCCTATGGATAAATACGGCTGTGCTTACACTAATAAATCATGAGCTGAAGCTGTGGCCCCAAGTGCGTAGCTGCGTGATTTTCATCAATTGGATTTTCTCACTTTGCGCATGTTTTATAATGTGGCAGAGAACTATATGTGCACAGGCAGGTGGACAATACCCATACCAACTCTAATCTCACAGTTATAGAAGCTGGAGTAACACATTCACACTCAATAAAATCTGTAATACTATCAAGTGGCCCAACTTTGAATCAAATTACACACTTATGTCAGAGTAATCAACAAGTGTTGGCAATAGTATATATTGGAGATAAACAATACCCTGTTCTGCGGTCTTGTTTGTTGCATGTACTGTATCTTGGATGTTTGTGGGCTCTGATAAGGATTGCTTTTTGTCAACCGGTTCTATGATAAAAGGCAGTAGGTAGAAAGGGGTCCAGGTTGGGGGACTCCTTCACTTTATTAGTTGTGGAGTGTGGTGCCCGTCATGAAGAGCAGACCTGGGCGTGCAACAGACACTGTGCAAGTGAAACGAGGTGGGGATAGAGATCAAGCAACTCCACATTGAGGCCGTGAGCTCCACCTGCTAAAAGGAGCCTGCCTTCAGCAGAAAGTGTGGAGCAGTCAAGTATCTCAAGGTCTGAAGCGAGTGATTGACAGAAGGTTGGGTGCGGCGTGTGCATTCCCTATATCGCTCTTGGATAATCGCTCAGTCTATGTGCGCATACGGTCATGAGCTTTTGGTTATAATCAAAAGGAAAAGGTTGCAGGTTACAGCACTCTGAAATGATGGGCAAGACTTTCTTCACTATATACAAAAGTGAAAGACGTTTAAATATTTTGATAAATTGTTACAATTACATATGACAAAGAGTCAATCCCAATTAGTCTCATGAGTAATTCCCATCTTGTTATCCTTGGTGAAAGAATCAATCTAATAATGATGTGTCTTAAATTGTGTTGTCTATAATTTGACTGACATTTTGTCAAGAAAGACCATTCTAGTTGGGCACTCCAACAAGTGATGGAATATCGGCTTACTTTTTTCAGTATAGAGTATCTAACTAATTACTTTGATGTAACTATAACAGCCGTTTTGCATTGTCCGACATCGTTACTGCGGCGTTACTCAAGAGCACAATGAGCTTCTCTTTTTATTTTGTGTTAGGACTCGTGCGAGTGATGTCATGAGAGAAGGGAGGATGAGAAACCTAGCTGAGATTTTTTTGATCCAGATCCAGGACCAGTCTGGGATATACACACCAAAAAAGTCTCAGGTTTTGATGCCCGAAAAGGTACATCATCTCCACTTTTTGAACAAAACTCTCTGGTCTCATTGGTCGAGCAGGTATCACCAGAATGATTGACAACTGGCAGAACCAATAGTCTTGATGATCCACCCGGAAGTAGAAAATCCACTTCTATTTCAAACCATATCTACATCAGGAATGTCTTGAGCTCGAGACCTGAATGCAGCCGGTCTGGATATTGCTTTTATAATCACTGGGTTGCCTTTTTCGCTCCCAAAACCAGGACAACGTTTTGGAGTCGTGTTCCAAAAGTCCTTGGTCCCGGGACGAGGCCATCAGTATTCAGTCCGAGGCGCCGTGTTGTTGCCACTGTTTGGGTAGAAAACACGGAGCTGAAACATGAGTGTGAAGAGGTGAGGGAGCGAGCACAAGGCACTTAGGCCACGGTCACTGTACCAGACATGAAATATGGATGCGGCCTAAACTATAAGCATTAAAGTTGTATGGATGTTGCCAGAGCTTTTTCTCCAATGAATAAATCAAGGTTTTGTGGAAAAGTACAATATATTATGTATTTTAGCAGCAGAGAAGAAACCACTGCTCTTCTTTATGGTTTTGATTCATTGCACTATTTGCTCTGGTGTCTCTACTGGTCTCTCTGTCTGGTGTCTGTCTGGTCTCTCTCTGGTCTCTCTCCGGCATCTCTCCAGCCTCTCTCTGGTCTCTCTCTCTAGTCTCTCTCTGGTCTACCTTTCTGTCTCTCTTTCGGTCTCTTTTCCGGTTTCTCTCAGTCTCTCTCTCCAGCCTCTCCTCGGTCTCTCTCTGGTCACTCTCTGGTCTCTCTATGGCCTCTCTCTGGTCTCTCTGGTCTCTCTATGGCCTCTCTCTGGTCTCTATGGCCTCTCTCTGGTCTCTATGGCCTCTCTCTGGTCTCTATGGCCTCTCTCTGGTCTCTCTCCTGCCTCTCTCTGGTCTCTCTCTCTAGTCTCTCTCTGGTCTACCTTTCCGTCACTCTTTCGGCCTCTTTTCCGGTTTCTCTCAGGTCTCTCTTCGGCCTCTCTCTGGTGTGTCTCTGGTCTCTCTCTGGTCTCTCTCCGGTCTCTCTCTCTGGCCTCCCTCTCTGCTCTCTCTCTGCCCTCACTCCAGCCTCTCCTTGGACTCTCTCTGGTCTCTTTCTGGAGCCTCTCTAGTCTCTCTCTGGCCTCTCTCTCTGGTCTCTAGGTCTCTCTCTCCGGTCTATCTCCTACCTCTATCTGCTCTCTTTCTCCTACCTCTCTCTGGCCCCTCTCCAGTCCCTATGCTATCTCTCTGGTCTCTCTCCTGCCTCTCTCTGCTCTCTCTCTCCAGTCTCCAGCCCTACATAGACTCATGCAGATTTGGATACGACGCTTTGATTAAACTACATCTTGTGGTTGTGTTTCAGCCACGGTCGGACAGAAGCCAAGGTCAATATTTCAAAACCATAAAATACAGACCCTATTACCGCACACGCCACATTCCCACATTTTCCTCTCGTTAGACACAGAGAACGCTAACCAACCTCCCCTCATGTATCCCACAGTCATGCCACGTTTGTCTAAATATTACACATCCAGCCAATAAGACTCCATGTCGCTTTTTATCTCCTGTGCCGTGAGGTCAGATGTGTTGGGAGTAGCGTATTAAGGCCAAAATCAGTCCACAGTATGCCGTGTCCAGGCCTTGGCTCGCGCTGCATATTCATTACAGTAAAAGATTTAGTCCCAGAGCCAAACTGTTTAAAATACAGCAGCGGGACCGGGACTCTGCGGTAAGTAGGAAGAAAATGCCCTCTCCATTATTTAACCTGCCCTCCATGTGAAGTCAGGCGCTCGGTGTCCTACGTGTTTATGGATGCACAAGAGAGGAGATGGGAAGAGGGACGGGAAGAGGAACGGGAAGAGGGCGGGAAGACGACGGAACGTGAAGAAGAAGAGAAGACTAAAAGGGAAGAGGGACAGGAAGAGGTACGGGAAGAGGACGTAAATAGGAACGGGAAGAGGAACGGGAAGAAGACGGGAAGAAGATGGGAAGAGGAACAGGAAGAAGAAGAGAAGACTGGAAGAGAACGGGAGGAGGAATGGGACGAGGAACGGGAAGAGGGCGGGAAAAAGACGGAACGGGAAGAAGAGGAGAAGAAGAGAAGACTGGAAGAGAACGGGAGGAGGAACAGGAAGAGGGACGGGAGGAGGAACGGGAAGAGGGACAGGAAGACGGACGGGAAGACGGACGGGAAGACGAGCTTTTACCGCTAGCAGAAGCAGCTAACAGGTGGAGAGACCTTCTGTGACGTCACAAAAATGCCTTAAATTTACAGTGGTTGGTTAGAGATTTACTTTTTACAGGATTTTTAATTTTTACAAGATGGATCCACATGAGCTGAGCGTGGCTGGGGCAGACCAGTGCAAAAACAACAGTGATTGATATGCATTTCTTTCCCTGTAGAATTCCAGAGAGCAGTCAAATTGACGGCTTTCAAAAAAGACCCGCTTATATCTGTAAGTGTGATTACTCAACTGGTGCAAGTTGTTGGTCCGAAGCTAACTTTGACTGCTCTCTGTGTCTTTGTGTAGTTTATTTCAATGTCAATATCATTGTTTTTATTTTTATTTTTTGATGATTTATTACTTTTTTTTGGCTAAAGTAATTTTTTTGATTATTTTAACTGAACGCCATTTTCGGTTGCTCTGTAATCAACTTTCCATGGCAGATAAAGCCCCGTATTCCGAGAGTCTCGCTCTGTACTTGGTCTAGAGCCGCGTCCAACCGGGGAAGTGACCATAGTTACCATAGCAACACATAGTTTTCTATATTATTCGTAACTTTCAATACAGGTTTTTAAAATTCCTTCATATTAAGTTATTTCCACCAGTATAAAGATAAAAAACACACACCACACATTAGACAATACTTACTTACCCATGTGGCTTAAGGTTAGTTCTAGAGCCAGGGTTAGCGTACTCTGTTTAGCACTGAATTAGCTGTTTATTAGGGTCATTTCCTTAAAAAACACAAACATAGATCGAGGACTCGCTTTCTGACGCAATACGACACATTCATATTCCAGACAGCTTTACTTTGTGCTGGATAAATAATGAAGTAAATCCCAGGAGCATTGGAGATCTATAAGTGAGGAGGGTCGAGGTTTTATGTGGGAACGCTGGAAGATATTTATCGATAAGCGAATCGATTTAGCCCAGCGCTTCGGGGTTAGCAGCACCCCGGACAGATGGCTGTAAAAGCGTCCAATCAGGGAGGAGTTCAACCGGCTGGGTCAAGTAGCAAGATGGCGGAGAACTCATGCTACAGTGGATCGGAGTGATGTATAGGCGGCACGGTGGCTGAGTGGATAGCACTCTCGCCTCTCAGCAAGAAGGTCCTGGGTTCGAATCCCGGCCGGACCAGGGCCTTTCTGAGTGGAGTTTGCATGTTCTCCCCGTGTCTGCGTAGGTTTCCTCCGGGTACTCCGGTTTCCCCTACCACTAAAAAAATATGTCCAATAGTTCTGGCATGTGCCTCCTGTACTGGCGACCCCACTCCCATCTCTGTGTGGAGTGAGAGACAAATGCCCATAATTAACAATTGTAAACCGCTTTGAGACTCAGATCTGCAGTGAAAAGGCGGTATATAAATAAAAACTTACTTACTTACTTACTATAGATCTTGGACCAAATACCCTGAAAAGTATTTGGGTTTTCACCAGATGACTATCTTTCTATAGTTATCAGCTGTTAGCATTTAGCCTTTGTGTATTTCTTAAGTCTTAGGACATATTTACAAGCGAGTAACGGGTTAATGTCCTGTAAATTACTTAAGCCTGGTTCACACGGCAGGATAATTAGGCCGATTTAAGACCTGATTTACCCCTGAAGACAATCTTAAGAACGCTCCGATTTTTGTTAAAAGAAATCTTATGAATTTTCCGTGTGTGGTGTGTTAAGACTGTGTCGCTCAGAAGGACTTGGGGACTGCTCCGATCTCAAATCGGGGATATCCAACATGTTGGATTGTTTTGGCCCGATTTCTCTTCGTGTGTGGTGTCGGGGACAGACGAGCACGCTGCAGTGGACTGCGGCGTGCAGCCAATCAGAAGACGAGGTGACGAGGAAACACCGTAAAAAGAATAACAGTCAGTAGCGTGGCACATAAATATATGTACAGTAGTCCATGCTCGCGTTGTCTCCATTTCTTTGCCTTTTCCTCTGAAAACAGTTTTTCTCTGTTAAAAACAAACTGCAAACTGTCGTCGCTGCATCCTCTTCGTCCTCCATGATTGTTTACTCTGAAGTCACGCCTGATCTCGAGAGATTTCCGTCTGACCTGGGAATTTCCGTCTGACCTGGGAATGCTCGGGAGTGACATCGGTTCATGCGTGATGTGTGTGATTTGCGTGATTTTGCTGTGTGGCTGCTCACCACACACCACTGTACGACCAAAGTGGTTACACCCTTGATTTTTTATATCCGTGTGTGGGGTCTCTCAGGTTAGGATAATCAGCCGACCATTTTAAAATCGTTTCGTGTGAAGCAGGCTTTACTTATGATAAAACTGGATGTATAGAAATGATCAGATTGTTGATCCTTTTTGGGGCATGTCCTCTTCCTTCCTCACAAGCTGCATCATCTGAAACTGTTTGGGACTGTACCTAATTTTTTATGCCTAATGTTGAATCAATACAACCCGTGCATTGCCATCTGAACTGTAAGATAGCTGTATGTCTTCAGCACCACGGACAGCGCCTATGAGACATTCACACGAGGCGTCTATTGCATCTGAATACAAGCATCACATTTCAATCCAGTCAAAATGGCGGCTGTGGGAGTTCCATAAAAAGCAGCCGTACCAAATCCCTATCTCTGCAAAGTTTGTGTCCTTTTAAAACCACAAAGCACTCTGCAAAAAACGTCTACGACAGACACAGAAACTGAACATCAGAGAAGACTTATTCCCACGAAGCAGAAACCCTCAATTAAAGCATTCTCAAAGTTCTGTCTTTATTTTAATTAGCAAACTCGCTGAAGTTGTTCAGAAGCATCAGAGCCTTAAAAAATTACAATTAGCCGGATATAAAAGTGCATTTGGATCAGAACTGACTGACAGTTTTATCTGGCGCCGACAAAATGAAGACTTTCTGTCGCCGCTCTGATGTTTCCACCAGACTTCATCAATCCCATGAGAAAAAATGAGACATCGTATTCATTGATTTGCTTTGATTGCTTCATGCGAGTCTTGGGTTGATTTTTGCACGTCAGCAACACAAATCCATGCAGTGATGACTAAGGAGCTTTTCAAATGGGCAAAAAAAGGGATAATATGGATCTAAGGGACAAGTGAGAATCAGCACCTCCAAATCCGAGGCCATGGTGCTCGACCGGAAAAAGGTGCCTTGCCCTCTGCAGGTGGGTGGAGAGGTCCTTCCTCAAGTGGAGGAGTTCAAGTATCTCGGGGTCTTGTTCACGAGTGAGGGAAGGATGGAGCGTGAGATTGACAGGCGGATCGGTGCAGCGTGCGCAGTGATGCGGTCGCTGTATCGGACCGTTGTGGTAAAGAGGGAGCTGAGCCGAAAGGCAAAGCTCTCGATTTACCGGTCAATCTTCGTTCCCTCCCTCACCTATGGTCATGAGCTTTGGGTAATGACCGAAAGAACGAGATCGCGGATACAAGCGGTCGAAATGAGCTTCCTCCGCAGAGTGGCTGGGCGCTCCCTTAGAGATAGGGTGAGGAGCTCAGTCACACGGGAGGAGCTCGGAGTAGAACCGCTGCTTCTCCACGTCGAGAGGAACCAGTTGAGGTGGCTCGGGCATCTGTTCCGGATGCCTCCTGGACGCCTCCCTGGGGAGGTGTTCCGGGCACGTCCCACCGGGAGGAGGCCCCGGGGAAGACCCAGGACACGCTGGAGAGACTATGTCTCTCAGCTGGCCTGGGAACGCCTTGGGGTCCCCCCGGACGAGCTGGAGGAAGTGTGTGTGGATAGGGAAGTCTGGGCGTCTCTGCTTAGACTGCTGCCCCCGCGACCCGGCAACGGATAAAGCGGAAGAAAATGGATGGATGGATGGATGGGACAAGCGCCATGGATTGTGGAAGGAGTGGACAAATGTAGCATGTGAAGGGGAGGTTTTTGTGAAGTTTCTACCATTTAAACTAGTTGTAAATGGTAAATATATAAATGTACTTTTTATTTATAGGCAGTAAAGGCACAGGCGTAATGTTTGTATCAAACTTAAAGTACAACAAGAAAAGGCTATACAGAACAAAAAGCAAAAAGATCCTAGTAAATAGGTCCAAATGTTACAAAAAAGTCCAAATACAACAAAATTCTAGGTACGTACACAAAATATTTCAGTCTCCCATGATATTGGCCGCGGGCGCATCAGCCGGCGGCACAGATTGAACCGAAGACCTACTCACAAGTTGGATCAATATTTTTTTACCTCAAAATCACGTTTACATTTTTAGCATTTAGTATTCTCCATATTTTTAAGAGTAGTACTTGGTTCTGATATCTCAGAAGTGACTGTCTTAAATACAGGTGCGCCTCAAGGGACAATTCTGTCTCCTTTGCTTTTTTCTATTTATACTAATGCATTTCAAGTTCATGAGGAATCTTTTAAACTTTTTAAATATGCCGATGATATGGCTCTGTTTTGGAGAGTCTCTATTTTAATCATTTGTCCATGTTACAGCAGTGGTGTGTGGACAGCTTTTTAGAAATCAATGTTTTGAAAACAAAAGAGCTCATTGTGCACATTGATAAAGAGACATTGATAGAAGTGAAGATTCATGGTGCCAATGTTGAGATGGTCGATGACTTGGCACATACATAGATGGGAGACTTGCGGCACGGTGGCTGAGTGGATAGCACTCTCGCCTCTCAGCAAGAAGGTCCTGGGTTCGAATCCCGGTCGGACCAGGGCCTTTCTGAGTGGAGTTTGCATGTTCTCCCCGTGTCTGCGTAGGTTTCCTCCGGGTACTCCGGTTTCCCCTACCACTAAAAATATGTCCAATAGTTCTGGCATGCGCCTCCTGTACTGGCGACCCCGCTCCCATCTCTGTGTGGAGTGAGAGACAAATGCCCATAATTAACAATTGTAAACCGCTTTGAGACTCAGATCTGCAGTGAAAAGGCGGTATATAAATAAAAACTTACTTACTTACTTACTTACTTACTTGCCTTTTCTACGAACACAGACTTCATTTTTAAGAAATGCTCACAGCGACTGTATCTGCTTCGCAAACTGAATAATTTTGGTGTGAG